ACAAACACATATTTTCCCACCTTAGAACAAACACATATTTTCCCACCTTAGAACAAACACATATTTTCCCACCTTAGAACAAACACATATTTTCCTACCTTAGAGCAAATTTTCATTTTCCAACCGTTGAGCCAAGAAAGATTTTTTTCCCCATCTTAGAGTACACAAAGACTAGTTTACCATGGAGCAAATTAAGATTTTCCCACCCGAGATGAAACGAAGATGTCCTCCCTCGCAGTACAGCAAACACAGATTTTCCTACCTCACAGCAAGTCAAGGTATTCTTACCTTATAGCAAAACCCCTTGCATGGAGAGCCTGAAGACATCTTGCCCCGACTTCCACGACAGTCAAATGACACTTTATCTCCAGCATAGTAGGGCACTGAGACAGAAATTCACAACACCACTTCAGAAAAAATGCCAAGAATAAAAAAAACATGACTTTCTGTCGACTGTAAGAGCTTCAGCAAATGACGGCACAAGAATGGATTTACTTCCGGAGTTAAGTAAAAAAAAAAGATATTTACTTCCCCTGGTCCTCTTTCGGTCCTTCACAATGTCTGCTGTATCTTCGTATTGACCCATTTAGGTGCTCTGATTCGAGACTCAGATGCTGATATGTTTCTTTCCATCTCTCCCCAATAGTTCCTTGTTGGCGCAGTCATTTGATAATGCTCTTACCACTTGTATTTGTTTGAATTAAGTGAAACACGTCCAGCCATAATGGTCATTTAGCTTGTCTGACTAATCTGTTGTAAGATGACTTTAACTTACTTTTCCGATCCAGCGGCCATCTGGGTTCTCGCCCTTCGGCCTGATTGTAAGCTGACAAAACGCCTTTTTTTTCGACCACAGCAGTTTCGAGATAAAGAGGCTTTTTGTCAGCGTAACTATTTGAAAATAAGCATTCTTCTGATTCTAATTTATTGCAAAAACTAGTAATAGTTTCACTTTGATTTTTTCACAAAAGTAGGGTAACTGATCATGCTTTCAATTTATCAAACAAAAACATTTGGCTTCAAAATTTTAAAAAAAAGGTGTTTTGTCAGCTTACGGCAATACTTTAGTGCTGGGAAGAAAAGCAAGACAGATACACGTGTCAGAGTGACAGGAAAGACATGAGGCCTACCAGTGGCAGTCTCTCACCACCCTCTATCATTTACATGTGCTGCTGAAGAAATAGAGGACACATATGTCCAATCAGGAGCAGACGGGAGAAGATGTTGCTGCACATCAAGAACATGAATTTGCATATTTCAAAGTATTCATGATGCTGTTTGTCTTTTTAACTCTTTATCTCTGAGGAGGTAAACCCACTACGCTGGGGCTCTTTTTTGGTACAAAATCTAAAATTGGCATATACATCACTAAATTGGTAATTAAATCAAAACAAATGAACCTATTTCAACAGTTCATCATCTAATGAATGAACTCCCGGTAAAAAAAACACCTGTTTTCGGCAACTGACGAAAAGTAATTTGATGTTGAAGTTGTCACAGAGTAACATGCTCGAGACGCTGCCAGTAGCTCCCTAGCACAGCCGTTCTGATAGCGAGCTGCTGAGAGCGGCTAGCCGGAAATAAGGAATTAAGTTTCAGAAAAAGATATACAACAGAACTGCAAAATATGTAAAAATGAGGAAGTTGGACTTCTTTTTTAGAATACCCCCAAAGAGCGCACCCTCAACAAGTTAACTCACTATGAGCTAAAAAAACACCCAGAGAACTTTAAGTGTACACGCTTCTTATCCTACAGAGCCCAAACGCGCCTGACAGACGGGGTCGAAGCAACCCATCTCTTGAAATATCTAAATTGTATCGATGCGGCGAAAAAAAATATTTACAATGACAAAATTATACTTAAGTCGAATACAAAATTTCCCATTGCTGAGGAGAGAAGTGGGTTGTCTTAGAGAGGTGAACATCTTGGACAGGTCATTATAAGGTAGAAAAAATACAAGGAGGAATGGGGAAGTGGTTTTATGTGCAGGTGTTTGTCTTGGACAGGTGGTCGTTAGAGCAGGTTCAACTGTACTAGAGGAGAAAGCCAAGAATGCAGAAAGTTTCCAACAAAGGCAACATACCCCTCTGTCTGACGTCAGCTCTGTTTCTTTTTCCAAGATTCTGTCGTACATATGAAAACTCGTTCTCTTCAAACTGAGACTCGTATCTGCTTTTTTCCTGAAAAAAATTAATCGAAATAATTACTTTTGTTTGAGTAAACGGAAGCACATCAACACAAAAAGGTTCATTCAGTGCATGGAAACAGTGAGACAGACAGACAGACAGACAGACAGACAGACAGACAGAAACAACAGAGGGTAAGAAAAAACATGAGACCAACTAGTGGTGCCTGCAAAGCCTGTATATATGTGGGGAAACTCACTCTGTCACTATACTGCCCATCTGTTGATAGTTATACAGCTTTACAGTCAACTAAAAACAAAATGCATAGATGAACATAAATAGTAATAAAATAATAAAAATAACAAGAATAATAATAATAAAATGTGGCATGACGTGGTGAAATCAGGCGCTCGTCAATTTTTGGGCATATAGGGTTATTGGTATCATCATAAAGCCAGTTCATTTGCCTTGCTTTTGGAGAAAAAAATCTCAATCCATGATGAATAGAAGTCGAGCTATTTGCGATTGAAAGAGGTGAGGGTCGCCTGCTTTCAGAAGTAAAATTAGCGAGAAAATGGCCGCCAAAGTTTGGTAATTTCCATAGCTTGAGAGTCCTTGGAAACTGAAAATTTAAAGTTTTTGTACCTTTAACCAGTGTTTCTCAGTAAAATCTACACAGAAATGTGTTTTTAAAAGGACATAAAGCTATTGAGCCAAAAAAGAAAACTAGGAAAAAAAATTTCCCAAAGGCCAGAAGAATGCCAGTTTCTTTGATTTCATTATTTTGATGAGCGCCCGATTTCACCACGATGCCTCACAATTGCATTTATGTATCGCAAATGTGAAAATTCCACTAATAAGCTAGCTTTATGCACTTTACAAATTGTCATCACCCAACCTACTCTTTAACCTTCTAAAACATTCTCAGGTTACTTGGCTTTCTTCAGAAACTGGAAAGATACATTTTAAAAAAGATAATTATAATAATAATGAAGATAATAGAAGACATGAGGATTAAGATGATTTGTGGTCTGCTGTGGACAATGAGACCAACTTTGGCGGAGAAGAGTTTGCCACATAAGCATTGAAAAGCTTTATTTCCACTTGTAGATGTGCGCCGCTTGACGGTTTCTCTCTTGGCTTCAACATTACTAATGTGCAACACCTCATGTGATTTGCTTCCCTCTGTAATAGCTGCTCTCCAACTGGGTCTGTCAGGAAACAGCCCACCCTGCATGTGAAGGGAATAATGTTAAAGTCCTCTCAAAGACATTTTCAAGGTGTGTTTATAGCACTTTTTCAGTGCGCCAATGTTACGCCTCCCAGAGGTCAGCTCAGAACGAAATACTGACTTTAGGATTCTGAAATCAAACATTCTTACAAAATGGCCAGCCCAGCCAAGTTAAGTCCTTTTGAGCTTAGAAAACAAGACTCCTGGCATTTGCCCATTTGAGAATTTTGGCGTCTGGTATTCTGTTCTGCCAATTGAAGCCAGGAATTCTCCCGAAGCATAATATCATGCATTGATACACCGCTGACTGATTGGTTGATTGTGAATGTCTTATTCCCCTCATCAACACAGTTTTGATCATTTAGGACGCCAGCTGCTTCAGTCTGTCTGTTGAGGCCAACCCAGACTGAGTGGGATACAATGTTTCGGCAGACAGACGGGTTGCGAGCGCCGTAAAACCCTCTACTAAAAAAAAAAGATAGACGGTGATACTTGATAAAATATCTCCCCATTGTCCCAGCAGACAGACATATGGAGAATACTCGATAAAATACCTTCCCGATGTTGATACTAAATGCCCATCATGGTAAATCTACATCATAGTAATTATACCAAGACTTTCTCATGATGGTTAATAATCACACCTGTTGGCAAACTACTTACTTGCTATGTGCCAGTGACCCCAGCTCACTGGTCCGTCGCTGCGTGGCACTGTCCTGAGAAGAACTGCTGTAATCAGTATCCCTTTGTGAGCTACCGCAACCCACCTCCATTAACGTCAGCTCATACAGCAGGGGAATTAGGTACTGAGGGGTTAAACATTAAATGACAGTGAGTGGTAGCAAATTTGATTCATAGATAAGTTATTATGCAAAGTATTTTTTAAGCAAGAAAATTTTTTTTTTAAATTTCTGGCCACATCAATCCGATAAGTAAAAATGACGAAACTTGTAAGAAATTGTTACAAGCTATATTCCAAACATTTAAGAAAGTAGACGAAACTGGTATAACATCTTGATTTTCTGACAAAACCTAGAATCTATGGACTGGCTTTGGAGAAAATTCCATCTAAAGATGGATAATTTCATTATCACACATCTGATTCACCCGCACCAAACACCTTACTTTAAAAAACTGATGAAAGATAATCTAGACTTGAAATCCAAACCACACTGACAATCATATAAAAGCAACTCTTAAATACGAACAAAAACCATGAACCTTAACTTAAAATCTAGACCACACTAGTACCCGTCTGAAGTCACAGACCGAATGAAAAAATAAAGTAAGGATCACCCCACTACTGCATGCTCAAGACGTGATTTCAGAGGCTGAGTCGGGAAACTGATTATGCCAAATAGGGATGTAAAACATTTATAATCACAAGAATTACAAAAATACCTCGCAGCTGCTTGCAGAGGCCATGAGACCAACAGCGTGCGATATCAAAATCTCAGTGGCTGGTCTGTTAAGCCGGTCAAACAGGTCAGAGGAAGGAATCCCTCTCAACAGATGGACAAACATGCTGACCAGTGTCCTCTTAGACTGCACGGTCAGCAGGTTGTCCAAGCCTCCCATACAAACTTTCTCGGTGAACTGACGGAAAAACGTCTGCCGTGAGGGAAGTAGACCCCTGGTGTCCGAGTGAATCAAACTGGACAACATTTCTGAGCCGGACCGCTCCAGTATTTCTTTTTCACTGGAGGAGAAAATGTGCATTTTGTTTAAGGGTAAAATCAAGAATCAAGAAGATGTGTAGTAAC